GAAGCTCCTATGCTGAATATTTTCTGAGTTATAAGCATTCTTGCACGTCCAGACACCCCTCTTTTTAGATGGAGGCCCCCTCATCAAATATGGGGTCCATGGTAAAACTGTTGGGTCAGTGTAGGTCAGACACATCTACAGTCCTGCCAAATTTCATGTTGATCGGTGCAGTCGTTTCTGTGCTACAGTTGACCAAAAATCACTGAAAAAACAAAACAACAAAAAGAAACTACAGAAACATATTGCTGCTGTATCAATGCAGATTAACTGACAAGATATCCAGCTGTTTATCAATATTACAAAAACCTAAAAAAAAAAAATAAACAGGCACAAAACTGCATCATTTTGCAAAGAGATACATCCTGTCCTTCCTCCAAAACAAAAATAAACATTCAGACTAAGTTTTCTGATGATGCAGACATTAATAAAGTGAAATTATTAACACTCTCAAATTTGTATTTTGTTGCACCTGCTACAGCTTTTACAACAGTTTTGAATCTTTTAGACTTAAACTTCTCTAATGAAAAACATTATCCACCAATCAGATGAAACTTTGCCACATTGTTTCATCAGTTTTACAGGACTGAGCCCCTTCATGGACCATATTTCTTTTATGTCCATCATCAATTTTCACTATGTTTGACACCTAGACAGTTTCTCTCATGTCATTGGGTTGATGTCTTTCCTGGAGATAAGTGTGAACACTCATTACTCTAAATACATCACCATCCAGGAACAAGTAATTCATCATAGATAGACTGATAGATGGAATAATGAGACAGGAAAAGTGTCCAAAATTTCACCGTCCACTTATGTAGGGACATGTAGGCTCGCTGACTGTGGAAATGTGGTGCTTTTCTTTATGCTAAATGGTACACTGATTCAGCAACAAACTAATGCTTAATGATTGTTTTTTAAAACTTTGAAGCAATTTTTTTTTTTACAGAAATCTGGTTTTCATTTCTTTCCCTTGAGATGTTCCTAATTAGTTAGAATAAAAATAGCTCTTTCAATTAGCTGTAAGACTGTTTTTATTTTATAATCATTTTGTTTACAATTGCCTCAATTTTTTTTATCCAGCTAACTGCGAGCAACCAGCATGTGTTGCCACACTTTGTTTTGAATGATGTTCCTAAAAGACTTATAAAGCTTTTCTTTGTTTCAGCTGACAGCTCTGCTCATGGGGTTTTGTTTCCTGTCAGTCCTGCAGCAGAAACAGTTGTTAAAGTCTGCATGGACTTACTTACCTGCAGACTGCTTTAAATATTTGACTTGTACATTTATTTCCTTATGAATTTTATTTTTTTGTTATTTTAAGTTTTCATATAAAAAATGCACACATACATATGTACTGCATAACATGAGATGAAAAGAGGTTTAATTTTATTTCAAATAGTTTTATCTACAGAAATTTGTTTCACAAAGCCAGAACATCTGTTTGCTAAAATAAAAGATTTGTAATATAAATGTTTCTTCATTTTTTGTTTGTTTTATATCTAAATTAAACTGTTGAGAAAACGTTGTCAAAAATCTTTATTACAAGTTTGTGAAAATCAAAACTAGGTATGGGTGATAATACTCTTTTCTATAGATATAAAAGGTATTACTCGGGCGGGGATGGTGGTGGTGTTATGGTCTGTGGCATGCTGAGTAATTATAATTAATGGAGAAACGGCTGCTTGTGAGCATTTACATACATCTAGCTTAACATTCTAGAGCCAGCTCTAACGTGTTGCTGTCCCTCAATCTGTTGATGAGAGCAAAAGGAGAGGTGAGTTGATATCAACCCCCTCTCATGCCTCGGTCCGAGATTAAAGTCGTAAAATTATGACTTTAATCTCGTATTATAACTTTGTTCTCATAATATTATGACTTGATTTTTTAGCCTTTTTTTTACATTTTTTATCTTATTTTATTTTACTTTTTTATTCTATTTTTACCTCTTTACTTGATCTTTTTTAATGTTCTGATTTATTTGCACAACAAGAGCTGCAAAATTATTTCATTGTTCATTGTCTGTGGACCGCAGTGTTCTTTTCAGTGCAACAATGACAAAGTTTTATCTTATCTTATCTTACTCTCGTAATTTAAAGATAAAATAAATTCCGTGTGGCCCTAATATCAACAGTATTTCCATTTTGCTTGTTTTTCTGTTTTTAGAAACACTATGTAACTCTGGTTTTAAAAGATGCTAAATAAATATTTAGTTTATTCTGAATGCACATCTTTTATCTAAGCTCATAATGAAGTTTTAACAGTAAGAGTCAAAAGCAGGAGTTTGAAATGGAAGTGAATATAATGAAGGAAAATAAAAGAAAGAGCAAAATCAGTGTCCTGGTAAAAAGCTTTTGTGCTACTAAAAAGGCAAGTTTACATGTTAAACAGCTACATGTGTACAATTAAAGCTGGTGGGGAACTCACGAGGTGTCACATTGAGAGCCAGTAAACATTCTTCTGTGCCAACACTGTTGCTGGCAACACAGCGATAAGTACCAGATGCACTGGAAGACACATTCCTCACATTGATGGTACCTTCAACAGGATCTGTGTTGATAAAACAGACAAACAAAAAGCATTAATAAAAAGAGGACAGATTTACATTCAGCTGTGAAAGGGGCCAAAGAGTTTTTCATTTGTGAATTATAAATTACCCAACACAGCAGAGGCAGGCAGCAGCTTGCTGTCAGTGAGTTTCTCCCATTTGTACTGCATAGGTTTGGTTCCCTCAGCTGTTGTGCACCTCAGCACGATGTTTTTGCCTTCTTCTGTGGGACCTTCAGTGTAGCACCTTGGCTTAGACGGCCGCACTGTGGAGAGAGGAGGAGAGTCAGATGTGAAACAGGCATAGCTACATCCAAGTGGGCACATTAGCTCACATCGAAATCCCCCTGCTGTCCTACACAAAAAAAATTTAATCATGCATGTTGTGTGCAAAATGCTTGTGTTTGAGCAACAAAGAAAGCCAACTTAACAACACAGTGCACAAACAGCAGCCTTCAGCAAAATGAAAGCAGTAATCACAGTAATTGATACAGCTGCTGTCATTACAGGAGCTGTCACTCAGGATAATCACAAGTAACAAGAGAGCTGTATGTGTTTTTTTAATACAGCATTCAGTGTTAAGCATGGAGAACAAGCCTTCTGTGTGAAAGAATGTGAGCAAACCATGCTCAGTCAGTCACACTGTGGCCAGATAAGATGAGATGGGGGATTTTTAAACCAAACAGAGCTAAAAATTAAAAACAGACTGGCACACTGAGTCAGGCGAGCAAAGAAAAGGACTCTAATGGAAGATGTTTGGATAGGAAAAATCTTAAGCCAAGGCCTGTGCTCTGTGTCCACCGACTGAAAGCTGACATCATGGCGTGGTAATAAGTTCTGTAACAACAAATCCTGGGAGTAGAGCTCTCGAGATTTGAACCAGGTGCTAGACGGGAGGGGCCAGCTTAGCAGACATAAGGATAAGGATTAACAGAACACTGACAGCACTGAGTGCTTTCATCAGTCTAATAAACAAACACTGGAGTAAGGACAGAGGACAGGGAGTGTGCTCGTCCAAAAATTAGATGAGCAGCGATGGACAGATGGTAATGGGGGCCAAGGCTACGTGAGTCCGAACTCTCTGTCCTGCTGTTTTCAGACGTCATGTTTCACCTACACATCTCACAGGAAATGTCAGACAGCTATGACATTTTGAATGCATCTTTTAAAGGTGAAAGTCAGCTCAACACATCTGAGGGTTATAGTACACAGCTTTTCATATTAGGTTGGCTGCCTGGAGATCAGATTTATTTGTTTGAGAGATGAGGTCAAAGAAGAAGGTGACAGAGACTGGAGGGGCAGAGTGATACAGCCGACCCAACTCTATAAAATAACAAGGAACTGATATTTATGATTTGCACAAGGCTATCCTGGGAATGAAATAAGAAAAAAGAAAAGACAAGATTGTGGCATCAATTGCTGCCGGGAGACGTACAGCTTCAAAAGTGAAGACTGATCGGTGAATGGTGAAGTGGACAGCGAGGCACTAATAGGCACTAGAGCCATGCAGATGGAATTAATGAGACCGGCTTTTGGGTTCTTCCAAGATATTTTTGAATGTAAAAGCCTGGACTCAGACACAGCTTAATGGTTTGCTGTTCAGAGTAAAAGTAGTCACAAACAATTTAAAGAGTTGCTGACATGCGGAGCTGAACTACCGGTGGATGCTCTCCTCCTGTTAACTTCAATGTCCTGCCGAAACCAGAGGAGAGTACAACAGTGAATGCTACCTCCTGGATCTGGACAACAAAGTACACAAGCATGTGTGCACACATGCATATGGCACCATGTGTGACTAGTCACAGCAGCATCCAATGAATTCAAGGCATGCGTACGTTTGTGCACACGTATACATGCACGTCTCCTCCAGTCTTAGGGACCATCAACCTTGTGACATGATCAACCTCAAGGTAAGGAGCAGAGCAGGCAACATGTCCCCACCTCTCCTCTTCAATGTTTCCCTGTTCAGTGTGATACTGCCCCTGAGGTCAACAGCAAGCAGCCTGTCAGCTTCTGTGGCCTCGAGCTATCTCTCATCCTTGTTCACATACATTTATTCAGCTAAATGTCTTCAAACTACATTCTTAAGCCTTCGTGAAACAGAACCCCAATTCCAAAAATGTTGAGACGAGTGAAAACATAATAAAAACAGAATGCAATGATTTGTAAATTTTGCGAATCTATATTATATTCACAGTGAAGCATAGCAAACATCAAACCATTAAATGTAGATATTGTAAGATTTTTTTTAAAAAGGGCATCTCAGCACATCTCAAAAAAGCTGACACAGGGCCATGTTTAAGGCTTAGCTATACATTTTAAAGGGATCCATGATTAGTTGTAACATTAGACTTTATTTGATAAACATTTATTTTAACTGTAAAATAAAGACTGTAAAAATACTGTAGGCTGTTTAGCTTTGTAAAGTTTTAAAAATATATTTTAACACAGATGGAGACATTTTATTTACACACAAAGCATTCTGGGTAAATGATGACGTGGATAGGTCAACTGTGCGAGGCTGTTAGCAAGCTATATCCACCCTGAAGATTAATCTTGGACAATATCTGACGATCGACTCTTAAATGAAACCAGAGAGCGTTGACAGAGAGGAGAAGGTAGAAATGACTCAGTCTGTAACTGAAAATATGGATAGAGGACCTCAGTTTAGCTTGTTAGTTTGTCACGCTAGCACCGAGCTAATACATATAAGGCAATATAGCGTGAGGGCTAGCGCAAAGGCTAACAGGCTAAGCTGAGGTTCTTCTTCCATGAAGCAGCTCTGTTGTCCTCCATCTATATTTTCAGTTACAGACTGAGTCATTTCTACCTTCTCCTCTCTGTCAACTAGGGCTGCCACAATTAATCGATTAATCGACGACTAATCGATTATTAAAATAATCGATGACTAATTTAATAATCGATTAATCGTTTTCTTTTTTTTGTTGTTGTTCCAAACTGCTTTGACACCTCCCACTGCCACATCTGCCTTTCTGTCCTTGACACACATGCACAGTAGTGGTAACTGGGGTAGGCCGTGGACATTATACAGACAGGCTCTGGTATCA